TTCTGCTGCAGAGCTCCCCAGGCTCTGACCTGCCTCCTCTAGCTTTCAACCCCAGGTAGCAGACAATTTTAAATATAAATGGTGATTTTAGCCTGGCAAAATCAAGTTTGTTGTTTTATGCTGAACTACACAATTTCGGTGTAGTTCAGTAGGAACGAGTAGCTAACCAGGGGTTCCCTGAGTGCTGCCTTCCTTGCTGGAAATGGACCTTGTGTGCTGAACTGGGATGCTGAGAGGAGACAAGTTTACATCACTGATCTTTAAGATTCAGATGTTGAATTTGAATAAATCCCTACATTTTCTAATCTCGATCAGAGTCTCATCTATACCTGATGGACAGCAGAATAGCTTTTCTATTGAGACTGTTATAACTACTAGGCTTAAAGTACTTGGAGCTTTAAGTACTACAGGAGCAATATTTTTCTAGTATTTCAGCATTTTCTCTGTTGCTTTTGGCAATAGCTGAAGTATGGAGAGGCACAAATAAACCGAAAGTATGAAAAAAGTGTTTATGCTTTTTTAGACCTTCATATATATAATCTCCTTATATAGAACATAAAAACTGAGGTTTAGCACATTAGTTGGGTTTATTTAAGTTTTCGCCTTGGCCAGCATTTTGATTGTCCAAAACCTGTTTTGAACCTTTTTAACCTTAGTGCCTGCTCTTGTAGACGCGTTGCTTAAGTCTCTGCACAACTCCCATCCAAGTCATCGGACCTGATGTGTCTAAGGTCCTGGCCAGTGCGTGCGAGTCTCCAGCTGCCCAATGGCCCTCATCCTTCTCTGTCACCAGGACATTGGTGTCTGTGCTGCACTCCAGCGTGACCTCCTCAGCTCCATCCAGATTGCTTTTGGAAAGCTCTGTCCTGCGTTCGGTTGCTGGTAGTGCAATCTGCTGTCCCACAGAGATCACATTTACACCCTTTCCAGGCCTGAACCACAGCCCTCTGGGAGGAAGGCAGAAGGGCTTTGTTTGCCTTCTGTGGGCTTTGGTCAAAGCCTTTGTGTTGGCCTTAAGGCTGGTCACTTGGTCCTTTGGATGCAGGAGTCAGTTTGAGTAACGTTTGCTCTACATTGTACTGCATTGTCTTTCAGAAGTTGCTTAAAAAAGATTTCTTGCCCATGAGGTTTGGGTTGTTTGTCCTGCAAATCCTGTAGTTTATAAAAATAAAAGAAGAGTTCACAAATGGGGTGTCACAGAATGGGTGCAAAGCAAACCCCCAGGACAGCGGCTTTGCTGGCTTGAAGGACTAGATTTTGGCTAGTTTGAAAAAACACTGTCAAAATTACTTCTACCTTAAACGGATCCAATGACTTTTTTATTTTGATTGGACATGTGCTCCTTTCTCCATTGCTGGTATTATTTTTTTAAAGTCAGTTGTGCATCCAGTGTGTAATTTTAAAAACAGTGCAAGTTCCAAGGGTAAATCAAACTGTGCCTGTGCAGAGTCCTTGTCTTGGGGTGAACATGCACCTCATTTGCGAGCATCGCCTCTGTGAATGTTGAAGTTTTCATCATTTGCGTCTTCAGCAACTGGCTTAAAAATGATGCACAGGAGTGAAAAAACAAAGATATTATCAAGCTACATGTCCTAAAACGTATCTTGAGAGCTGTTTGGTGTAGAACATCTGTTTGGCTACTTAAAATCAGTTTGAGACTTTCTAGTCCCTCAAGATCTTCCTTTAGGTTTGCAGAGTTGGTTACTCTGCAATCTGCCAATTTTTAATTTTTTTATTTTATTTTTTTTTTAATATGTGAGATGTAAGTAAGTTGGAATGAGCTAATTTAGCCAATGGAATTTTATAACAAATGTACGAATGCTGTGGGTTTCCCTCCCTCACCCCTTCCAGCAGAAACATAATTTGCAGAAATGAAAACAGTCCTTGGCTGGCTTTAGGGTTTTCTCAAAAATAGAAACAGTAGGGTTTGTCTGACTGGGCCAGTTTCCTCACCACACACCTGGTGTGTATCACTTTAAAAAATACATTATGCCTGATTAAATTACAATTAAATGAAATCATGATCATTTGTTTTTCTGGAAGGAAGATGTTTTGCATATTGAAAGCCTAATTTGTTGCAGGTGACAAAGAGGCTGAACAGATTATTTAATATCACTTTATTTTTTATAATCTTGCTCACTGGTTAGTTTGTGTATACTTCAGTAGCTCAAAATTATATCATTATAAATGTTATTGCTCTCAAGATACTTTATTTTATTGTCCTACCCTATCACTTGGCTATCTAGCCACTGTTGTTTACCAGCTTTGTTTATCTTCAGTTGCAGGAGGACAAGAGGTTTTTCCCTCTGAGTCAGTTTTCTTATTATCTGTCCTGCTGTTTACATGGTTTCTAAGCTGCCAAAGCACTTGGAGGACCTGCAGAAACACCCTCTTTGCGACCATGTTTGCTACCTGCAGGCCTGGAGCGGGCATGGGGGAGCAGGGCTCGGCCCCTGCCAGGGGCTGCCTCTGTTGCGGTGCTGGGAAGGAGCTGGTCCCTCTCCCTGGGGCAGGCACCTGCGTTAGGAGGTGAGGCTCCCGGCAGCTGTACAGTGATCCAAAATACTGCTACATCCCTGTAACAGAGGTGAGACCCTCATAGAAGCAAGAGGCACAGGCTGGGGTTCAAAACCACTGAATCTGCCTCAGGATAAGCTGTTCCTGGTGATGAATCAGAGCTTCTAGGCACAAGAGTTGGTACTTGGGTAGTGAGATACCTCTTAGTGCCATGGCCAATCCACTTGTACCTGTAAGCCTCTGATATACATAGAGAGTTAATGACTGCACTGAAAAGTAATTGCTGGCGTGCTTTCCCACGTGTTTCTGCTCTCCATTCTTGAAATTGGACCATAAATTTAGCCAGGCTAAGATGGGGGGAGAAACGGCTGTCTTAGAGTCAGCTCCGGTAGCTTTCAAGTACCTTTCTTTCAAGCTAAACTCATTAATTTTTGAATTTGATCTTTTCTTTTAAAAAAATAAGTTATATATCCTTTAAAAGACCCAGGAAATTAAGAATTTAGAGAATATGTGAAACTAATATTTCATTTATTTACTACATTTGGAGAATTTTCCACTGACTTTAAGGGAAAATTGTAATGAGAACTTGATGTATCGATCTTGGAATCATTCAAGTCATGGCTTCAAGCTTGTGTTATGTCCTTTTTTGGTTAATCTCCCTCAGCCTGTGAGTCTGGCAAACTTTGGAAAGCTTTTCAAAATGTCTGTAGCTTGTCTGAGGGGTGATAAACCAGGAGCTGTGTGCAGCCTACCTTCAGGTTGTGTGTGGAGCTTGTTTTGAGCACTTCTGGCATAAACACTGCTGGAGTAGAGCATTCATATATGTGTTTTAATGTAGGTGATGTCTTTTGCTGGTCTGCTGGTTTTGTCAGGAAGTCTAGTAAATAAGATCAATATGTACTAAAAATGTTGGCATTTGGTTAATTGGCCAACTGTAGTGGCAGTGTTTTAGCAAGGCTTTTTGGAGGACACTCTCTAATACGGAAGAAAATAAGCTAAAACTAAATATTACAGGGTTTTGACTACGTGGTTGTTTTCTAGTAACGTTTTTTCTAGCAAAAAAGGAGTAAGCCTTGACTATACTCATGAGGCAGATTGCCTCGGTCATGGCTGTAAAGTGACTGCAAAATGCTCATGTCAACAGCGACAGCTGAATTGTGCGCACGGTGGTGTCCCTTTGCACGCGGTTACTGAATATTGCTCCTCTCACAGCAGTAGGTCGAGGTGAGCCCTTCAAGCTCAGACTGGAATTTCACATGGCTTCTGGGGCTGGTGTTCCCGGGAGCAGTGGTGTGGAGAGCCTCTGGGTTGTGCCAGGCGGGAAGCAGGAAGGGTGTTGGACTGCTCAGGAAAACGTTGGCAGAACAGCCTTTTAAAATAATGAGCCTCCGATCACCGTTTCTTATGATATATGTAGTCTCAATGGGCAGAAATGATCCCTCTCTGCTTCTGTGCACACTAGTACATTTAAACATCTATAGTTCAGGAAATCACTGTTACTGCTTTTTGGAGTGAAATACCCGTTTGTGACATGTCGGATGTGAGGGGGTTCCTGGGGGGAGCTGGTGGCACATGCTGCATCCTTGTAGGTTCTGTCGGCCCTCATCCAGGCTTGTGTGCTGTGCCTTTAACTTCTAGATAAACTGTGGAACTGTTGAGTGCATAAAGTTATGCATAAATTTAATCCCATCATTAGATTTAAGCCTCTTTTAATGACATTTTCATCTCTCCAGCTCTTTTTTTTCTTTTTTTCTTTTTTTTGGAAGTGCTGTGCCAGTTACCTCCTGGAATAATGGCTTTTGTGAAAACTAGATGAATATGGTGTTCATTCATGGTTGCAATGTGAAGCCTGTGGTGTTTTAAAATGAGGCATGAAAGAATGAGTTAAATCCCTAAAGCTAGATTCTAAGGCCTTATTATTCCTCCATTTTTCTCCTCTCAGAAATGGCTGCCCAAACCAAAATGAACGGACTGTAACATCAAAAACCAGCCAAACATTTTTCTTTATAAGCCTCCTGCACTGTTTAAATGTCGAAACTAAATTTACCAACCTTGGCAGATTTGTCAAAGATGAACAGGATTGCCAAGTGTTCCCAGCTTCAAGTAAAAATTGAGAGAGAGAGATCTAACAGCTCCTAAAATATTTGCAGCAAGCACCTGGTGGTAACTGCGATTTCTTCTACCCAATGTATCTACCTTCCTATCTGCATCTCCATACTCAGAAGCTTATTACAGTGCCAGAATAGGACAGTCCCAAAATAAACCCCAGCCCTCAGAAGACAAACACTTTCCTACAAAATATCCCCTTTAGGAGAGCCCGTGAGATTCTGCTGTACGTTCTCAGTATTGCAACTCAACTGGTTGTACTAAACAAATTTTAAAAAAACCAAAACAAAACAAAAAAAAAAAAACAAAAAACCAACAACCAACACATGACTGGGCTTTTTTTTTTAATTTTTTTTTTTTAATTTTTTTTGAACCAGGGCTTGTTATCAGAGATCCTGCGTAAAGAAGAAGACCCTAGGACAGCTTCTCAGTCCCTTCTGGTAAACTTAAGGGCAATGCAGAATTTCCTCAACTTGCCTGACTCGGAGCGGGATCGTATCTATCAGGACGAGAGAGAGAGAAGTATGAACCCCAACGTGAGCATGGTGTCTTCAGCTGCCAGCAGCCCAAGCTCCTCCAGAACCCCCCAGGTAAGATGCAATCCCTTGTTACCTGTTTGTTGTGTGGATTAGTCCAGGAAAGGGGTTTCTCTCCACCCTTCCCCTGTCTGTTGCTCCCCTCACCCAGATGAGTTGTGGAAATCCTTTTGTAAGGTTTGGAATGGCTGGTTTGAGAGGCTTTATGGGTTTTAGCAGTTTTGACATTGTGATGATGATTCTAGCTTTAATCAATGCCATGAAAGCAAAAAAGTATGTAACATGAGTGCCTGAAAGAGCTCATGTGGGCATTACATACAGACTGTTGATATATGTCCACTAAATTGCTATTATAGAAAGACAGTGCACATAACTTTTTATCTGTGTCCATTACATTCTGCAGAACACAGGAAATTTCTGGGCTTGTGGAGAATTTCATATATGTTGCAATAAAAAATGTGTAGTGAACAGAGGTTGACAGTGAATTAGATGTTGCTAGAAATCAGTGCACTCTGTATTCTGCATAGGAAATCACAGTCCTTGAGTTAGAGGTTTAAATGATTAATTATTTGAAGTACAGAAAGTAGAGGTGGGAAGGGTGCTGGGAAAGAGATGATGCTTTACAGCTCCGAACCAGCTGTCATCTCATTGACTTAACTGCACGTGTTTATTAACGTGCTGTTGCCACCCACTTCCCCGGGTAGGTTGTTCCTTTACATTAAGAAAGAACATCCACATACTACACCGTAATAGCCATTCCCCCTTTTGTCAGACTGCTTGCAGTCCCAGACGTATACTCTGAAAAAGCGAGGGTGCTTGCACAGAGGTGATGATTAACTCCTGTCATGACATTTGCCTCACTTGAGTTTGAAACTTCTAACTGTGCAGATATCATCAACGGGTCAGTTCTAGCACTTCTCTTGATCTTTAGTAAATGGGCCTCTATAACCCTCCTGCTTCAGTGCTTTCACAGTCGCGTTGTCTGCAAAGTCTTGGGCTGGGTTAGCTGTGCTTATAGTAGTATTACTGAGCACTTGTATATTAAATTTCATAGCCACAGCTGCTAAAAATAAGTAAGCATTG